TTTTTAACTTTGATTACTAGTATTTTGGTTGAATGGTGTGTAATTGGCTATCATATTCCTGCCCTCTTTATTCTGATTATTCTCGACTTATATACTTTGGACTGTGTTGCTGTGCAATGTTGGATTTTTTGTGTAATGGCGTTCTGCTTATCAATCTCTTTTTATAATCATCAAATTAGAAAATTCTCATGGTAGTTGTGATGCATGATCTGGTAAATGACTGGGTCGATTTGTGTCTGGCAATTCAGAAGATTGAATCTAAATCATTTCCTGCTGCTTATTGGACTGTGAATTTAGAAGCTATTGACAGAAACTATCAATTGCCCACCTTACTCACTTTAGCAACACTTTTCATGATTATAAATTTCAAGATGAAATTGGAAGAACATAAATTGCGAGTGCTGTTATAGCCATTCTTCAGTGGCTTGGAGGAGTTGCCTGAATCTATTGGCTCGCTAAGGCATCTTCGTTAAAGTATCTGGAACAAAAATTAAAAGGTTCTGATATCAGCTATCCATATTTAAAATACTTCAGTAGGGACAGATGCCCTGATTGTAATCTAGGCCCGCCTATGGTTATATGCCAGAATCTGTTGTTTTAGTGACATAGAAGGAACAAATGAAATGTTAAAATAGCAAAACTAATGATATCAGTGTTATGGCCATTCAAGGTCTGATATATTTGAAAGACTAGAGGCCTCTACCTAAATAAGAATTTCTGATATCATCAAGTATATTATCTTGCTTTCGTGTAAGCCTTTAATTCTAGAATTTATCATTTCATTCTTAACCGTTTAGATTGGAAAGTAGGTAGCTTTTTTGCTATCTTATATTTTTCAATCCCTTAATTAATTTTTGCAAGTTTGATTTTCTTTTATTTAACTTGTTATTTGTCTTGATTTCTATTTTTCTATGGTATTTTTAGTGTGGACCTGTGTGTGAAATTCTTTAACTAAAGTTTGTTGTAAGCTCAAAATGTTTGAGATCTGATAGTAAACGACTTGTTTGTTGCTTGAAGGAGTTATGCATTAATGATATAAAGCTACTTTTGATATTAATTTTAAATAGCTTTCTATGGTTCTCATTGATGAGATATCTTTGGCATTATATATTTTTTGTGTTCATCATACATGGTTTATGGCTGATCAAAACAAAATTCCGACAATTCTGCTATTGACTCTGTGGAACATACATAAATATTGGTTGACAGCCTTGAACAAGCCTTTAAAGAGGATTGAGAAAGATGAACCATAACCCACAATCAAGTGAAGGCAGGCATGATGACGATGCTGCACTATCAGAATTTCTAGCTTCTTTAATGGATTACACTCCTACAGTAAGTTTCTTTCACTATCAATGACCTGAGAAAACTTCCTTAGCTTGCTTTATATTCATTAGAACATCTAAAGCCCATCGCTAACTCCTTTCTCTTTTATTTTTATATCTCTGATAGATACCAGATGAATTGGTGGAGCATTACTTAGCTAAGAGTGGCTTTCAATGTCCTGATGTTCGATTGTAGGTACTTCTTTTCTTTTTTTTTGGGGAAGTCAATCATCTTGTTCACTCCATTTAGATATTGTTTATTTGAGCATTCTTTTCTCACAAAGAGAGTGCTCTGCCATCTGTTTCTGGGATGTGAACTGATTTGGCTCGCTGAAATGTGTGCATCTAAGTTCAAATATAGTGTAATTTTGGATCAATGACCCGTTGCTAATCTTATTAGTCGTATCTCTTTCCTTCGTACTTTTAATTCTAATAGGACGTTTTTACTTTTATTTCCAGAATAATGTAGACTGTAGATTGAAGAAAGGAAATATATATATTAAAGTATCAGAAAGTTGAGTTACATTCAAAATCAACATAATTTTTATAGAAAATTTATTAATGGTAAAAGAAAGTAATGCATCAAATACTCCAAAATCGAACATTTATTGGTTATTGAAGTTGCACAGTCTAGTTGGATGGGTGAGGGGGCTCATAATTGCTTTTATTTAGAGTGAAAATTGTTGAATGATATGTTACTCATTTGGATCTTTGGGCCCCATCATTTCTTGTGCATATGTTGTCTGGTCTAGTTGACTTTTTTTTTTCTTTTTCTGGCAGAACTAGACTTGTAGCTGTTGCTACCCAGAAGTTTGTAGCTGAAGTTGCCAATGACGCCCTACAGTATGCTTATTGAGCCATTTCTTTCTTTTTTATGCTTTTAATTTCTGTTATGGCCACAAGTTTTGTGCATAATAGAATCAGTTTATTTCTTAGTTTACAAGCTCGATTTTTGGTTTTTTGAGATTTAATCATTATGAGATCTAGTCATGCTATAGGTAGTCTTTTTGGTCGCTATGCTATAAGTAATTTAATGACTGAACTTTTTGTGTTGGGTTGATGACGTCAACATATTTTAATTTCTACTGCCTGCTCTTGTAGGCACTGCAAAGCAAGGCAGGCAACAATTCCAAAGGACAAAAAGGATAAGCAACAGAAGGTCCTCAACTGATGCTTGCAGTATTTTTTGTCTTTGCTATTCTTATTTCTTATTATATGTATGTCAGTGTCTTGTAAATCTTGTTTGCACAGGATAAGCGCCTAACGCTGACAATGGAGGACCTATCAAAGGCCCTGCGTGAGGTAAGAACTAATCTCTACATGTAAAATGGGGAACTTAGTTTTGACTTTTCTCATTATGAGGGCCATGGGGCTCTGACTTGTGCCAACTACTACTTCAGTAATACCCAAACTTTTTGCAATAAAAAAAAAAATTCAAGCTTGTCTTGTTTAATCAAATGAAATTATAATGAACTGAACCAAACTTGAGTTTTTGGCCGGTTGAATGCCTGCATCAACTTGGAATTTTGTCAGCTTCTTGAGCTAGACTTTTTTGTTCGTTGGGTGTCATTTTGTGATCAACTGCACACATTCACGATTATTCTCATCCATTCCTCAATATTTCTTGTGAACAGTATGGAGTAAATGTAAGGCACCAAGAATATTTTGCTGATAGCCCTTCAGCTGGAATGGATCCTGCTACACGAGATGAATGAGCCATTAATTGTCTGTAACAAATCTTCAAGGGTTCTTGCTTGCTCATAGTTTAGTAAATACTGACATTTGGTAAGGTGGATTTGAGTCTAAAGTCGATGAATTTAGTGGAATAGTTTCAATTTCTGAATGCTTGATTTATGAACAAAAGATATTACTACCTTCGATCCTTAAAATAAAAACTGATTGATTAATTTAAGTAGAATAAAAAAATTAATTAAATTAGTTGATTGAAGTAAATAGGTGTTATTTTTCTAAAATATCATTATTAATTATATGTATAAGGTAGAACTATCATTTGATAAAATCTTAACATGTGCAACTGCTACTAGAACTATCTTGAATAATATATCAATCAATCTAAATAAATTATTTACCTTAATTTTAATTGGTTTAAATATGATATATGTCAAAAATAACAGATTTTTTAACTAAAAATTAATTTTAAATACTAAGGGCAACAAATAGGCAAATTTAAACCAATTAAAAAATCAAACACGAATTATACCAAACACTATTATGCCGATGGATGCATGGGTTCCTGTCGAGGTTGATCAGCAGATAAAAGCATGCGTTGAAGAGTGAGCAAAAGCGTACAATTATCGTCAAACTCATCGTGGTTGTGATCACTTTTTTTGCCCTCGTGGTAGCACTTAATTCACAGATCGTAAGATGTATTATTAGTAGTATTATTATTATTGGGGCTCAAACGACACTGCCTGCAAATGAAGAACGAAGTAGGGATGAAATCTTTGCAGGCAGCACAAAACGGCCTGCCGCTTTTACTGATGTAGTTCAGAATTAAGAACTCCTCAAACTGCAGTAAGCCATCGCCGTTTCGATCGAGGAGGCTGAAGAAACTGTTATTGGTTGGAATGTTCCCTCAACTCATGAATGCTGATTTTGCCATCTCCATCTTTGTCCATTGACTGGAACTTACTCTCCAGCTCTGTCTTATCTTCATCAGAGAAGTTTGCATGCTCAGCTTTTGTAACCCTCCTTATGTCCTCCATCGATCCTGATCCCCCCTCGTTATTAATTATTCTTTTTTTTTTTTGGCCAAACCCTCGTTATTAATTATTCATGTTTGCAGATTAGTAATTTCTTTTATAGCGTTACTCATCATTAATCGACTTGCCCACATGTTTCGGTGGCCGACCAAGAAATTTCCTTTTCCCACTGCTTGATGCCTGTGTTCATAGTAATCATTTTTTTTGGGGTAGAACTTGTTCATGTTAATAAATAGGTAGTTGTTTAATTTGAGAAGATTAAGAAAATAAGTTAAGTTAGTTATTTGTAATAAATAGGTATTGTCTTTCTTAAAATATCCTTGCTAATTAAGTGTGTTGGCTAAAATTAGAATGATTGCTTTAAAAAAAATGTATAAATATTAAAAATAAAATATATTGGAATCTTATATTTAGGACCAAAACAAAAGTCAAACAGGGTCTTATATTAAAGACCAGAGGTAATATTATCTTATAATAATAATATTATTCTTTCGGTCCTTAATATAAAGCCACATTGTTGAGTTGATTTTAGTCTTAAATATAATATTTATTTTTCATATTTATCAATTTTTCTTAAATTATCCCTTTAGATACTCATTCAATCATAATATATTTTTATAATTAACTAACTTATTTAACTTATTTAATCTAATGACATTAGTTAAATAGGTCTTATATTAAGGATCAAAAGAGTATTATATTTTATATTTTTATATATTATATATATTGTTATTTACTTATTTACTATTTTTTTATAAATTCTAAAATAAAATTTAGGATGTTATAAAAGCCTAGAATTGATATAGAATTGAGGGGCACTCGGTTTTCACCAAAGACTCAGCGAGTTTTTTCCATAATGAAATCCCCACCTGATTGTGTAAAAGTAAATAAGCATTGGATTCCATTGCGAAAGTCATCACAGAAAGAGGTTCACATGTGTTGCTCCTGTGCACCATAATTGACTCGTTTCTCGGCTTGCGTTTACCTGACTGCAAAGGATTAAAGTAGAAAACCACGAAGCAGTACTCTCCTTAATTAACGGCTTTTAAATTTGGTCCGTGGCTCGTACATGTGTGTCCCGTATACCTGTGTGTGTGTGTGTGGGGAGTTGTAGGGCCACGGTGCTGAAATGTGAAGAGATAGAAAAGGGAGGTGGCGATAACTGCGTATCAAAACTCCACAGAGGAAGAAAAGGGAAGGATGAGGAGTTGGTCCGCGTCAATGGACAGGAATAGAGATGGCCAGGTGAGTCCCCAGGATTTATATATGTAAACTAAGTCGTCATCATTAACCTTGGTAATTAGATTGTTCTTTGGATGCTTATTCTTTTCAGAGAAGGCGTTCTAATGCTACTGCTGGTTTGGATGGTTATTCTTTTCCACCGCAGCATTCTGATGCTGATGCTGATGCTGCTGCTGCTTCATCCCCTGACAGAGGCAGACGGTCTTTTCAGGGACTGGGAGTGAGGGAAATGCCTTCTGGGGTAACACTACTCCGGTTTTTAATACAGGACCTATTTAATTATTTTGATTAAATTAAAAAGGTTAGTTCAGTTAGATAACAATTATAAATATGACATATGTTTTCTGAAATACTTTCAGTTAAAACTTCTTCAAAAAAATTGACATTTCAAAAAATGTTTTAAATTATTTTATTAAAAATATAAAATGGTAAAATTGATGTATGTGTAGAACTAATGAGTAATAAGTAGTCACTCACTTCATAAAGTATATAGATGTATTATTAATGAGTAAAAAGTATTATTATGGTATTTAATTATTTAATGAAGTTAATTTAGAAAAGAATTGGTAAATATAAAAAATAAATATTATATTTAAGACTAAGATCAACCTTCTAATTAAATTCTATATTAAAGGCCAGAGGAGTAATATTTTTACTTGGACTTGTATTGCTTTTAATTCCTTAAATTTAACATTAGTGTGTTTTTTGGTCCTTTAAATTTGATTTTAGATAGTCTGCTTAAAGATTTTTGTCCTTGGGACAGTATTTTCGTTATTAAAATTAAAATAAGATCAAATGTAAGGAACTAAAAATATCCCCTTTTTTTTTCATGAAAATGCATGTATCACAGGTTGGCTTCAGAAATTTTAATTTTTCGTATCATACTAGTGAAATAATTGAGGAATACAACTAATAATCTATTGAAAAAATAGAGGTGTGACTATTTCGTATTTTAAAAGAGATTATACCATATGTGTATTCTTACGAATCCAAGTCGTCGTCATTAACCTTAGTAATTAGATTGTTCTTTGGATGCTTATTCTTTTCAGAGAAGGCGTTCTGATGCTAATGCTGGTTTGGATGGTTATCCTTTTCCACCACAGCATTCAGATGCAGCTGCAACTGCTGCTCCATCCGGTGGCAGACGCCGACAGGGACTGGAAGCGAGGGAAATGGCTTATGGGGTAATACTTATCCGATCTTTAATACATGACCTATTTAACTATTTTGATTAAATTAAAAAAATTAGTTAAATTAGGTAATAATTATAAATATGGCATATGTTTCTCAAAATACCCTCAATTAAAACTTCTTCAAAAAAATTGACATTTCAAAAAATGTTTTAAATTATTTTATTAAAAATATAAAATGGTAGAATTGATGTATGTGTGGAATTAATGAATAATAAGTAGTCACTCACTTTATAAAGTATATAGATGTATTATTAATAAGTAAAAAAGTATTATTGTGGTATTTAATTATTTAATAAGGGTAATTTAAGAAGTAATTGGTAAATATGAGAAATAGGTTCTATATTTAGAATCAAAATCGACCTTCTAATTAGGTCATATATTAAGGACTGCAAGAGTAATATCTTTACTTGGACTTGTATTGCTTTTAATTCCTTAAATTTAAAATCAGTGTGTTTTTTGGTCCGCTAAATTTGATTTTAGGTAGTCTGCTTAAAGATTTTTGTCCTTGACATTGTAATTTTGTTATTAAAATTAAAGTAAGATCAAATATAAGGAACTAAAAATACCCCCTTTTTTTTTCATGCTATGCTACTTATTTTAGAGAAAACCGATCCAACAGTCCTTATAGTTTTATCATGTTTTGAATTGGGTCGTTGTAATTTTTTTCTGTTTATTGAATCCTTAATGTTTGCACCGTCAATAATACCAGTCCTAACTATTAATAAAGCTGTTAGTTTAATTGAGAATGGATGATGTGGCATCTGGGCCCATCCTCTTCCTCAGTTGACTTCCTTTAGCTTCTCTCTTTCTTCCTCCTCCTCTCAATCTACCTCTGCTCTCACACCACTGTCCGCCTGCAATTATCTCTTCCACTCTCGCTGCTCTTTCTCCCTCCTTATAACTTCTCCACCACCCCCAATTCTCACTTCCACTTCCTCTCAAAATAAAAAATGGGAATGAGAGAGGTGCAATCAATTCCCTCTTCCCTCGTTCTTCCTCCCTTTATTGCTTTTGCTAGTACTTATGTAATGTTGCAGAACAAGAAGACACCCAAAATTCATGGCGGCATCGTTCTTTTTCTTTGCTTGGCCATCACTTTTATGGGCTTATTTTTAAGGAATTCAAGTGTTCATTCTTCAACCAAAATAAAAGGGGCAAGTAATGCATTTCTAAGATGTAGAAATAAATCCATACTACCACGAAGACCAAAAAAATAGACACATGTCGGGCTATGATTTGAAACAAATTATTGCAACCGCCATCATCCTAAATAAGCACAAATCGTCAAAAGTGTTTCATACAAGAAACCATAGAAAGAGCAAGACTCTAACTAAACATGATGTAGAAAAATTCTCCAAACTCTGGGCAACTAGCTTCATGGCTATCACTATCTGATTGTTATAATTCAAACATCCCAGAAGGCATCATGTTCTACACAAACACCTAACTTTAAGAGAAATGAAAGATAACAACATCATAATAGTTGTGCGAGAGTGGAAGTAGACTGAGAGGAGGAGGGAGAAAAGCTGAGAGAGGTTGACTTTATTAACAGCAATAAATGGCATTATTAACTGTGTAAAGATTAAGGATTCAATAAAAAAGAAAAAAAAACCATAAAAACCCAATTTAAAACATAATGAAACCATGAGGACTGCTAGATTAGTTTTCCTTTTATTTTATTTGAAAATGCATGCGTCACAGGTTGGCTTCAGAAATTTTAATTTTTCGGATCCCACTAGTAAAATAATTGAAGAATACAACTAATAATCTATTGAAAAAATAGGCGTGTGACTATTTCGTATTTTAAAAGAGATTATACCATGTGTATTGTTACGAAACCAAGTCATCATCATTAACCTTAGTAACTAGATTGTCCTTTGGATGCTTATCCTTTTCAGAGAAGGCGTTCTCATGCTGACACTGGTTTGGATGGTTATGATTTCCCGGCACAACATTTTGATGCTGCTGCAGCTGCAGCTATTGCTTCATCCCCTGACAGAGGCAGACTGTCTTTTCAGGGACTGGAAGCAAGGGAAATGCCTTCTGCGGTAATATTTTTTCAGTTTTTAATATAAGACTTATTTAACTATTTTTTCATGTCCTGCTATTTATTTTATTTAAAAATGTATGTAGCACAGGTTGGCTTCGAAATTTTAATTTTTTGTATCACACTAGTGAAATAATTGAGGAATACAACTAATAATCTATTGAAAAGATAAAGGGAAAATTGCAATTTAGGACCTTGGAATTGCAAAAACACAGATAGGGACCCTTGACAACTTCACTTTGGGTTTTGACAACAATAATATGTCATGAAGTTGTTAAAACCCAAAGTGAAGTTGTCAAGGGTCCCTATCTGCGTTTTTACAATTCCAAGGTCCTAAATTGCAATTTCCCCAAAGATAAAGGTGTGACTATTTCGTATTTTAAAAGAGATTATACCATATGTGTATTCTTACGAAACCAAGTCATCATCATTAACCTTAGTAATTGGATTGTTCTTTGGATGCTTATTCTTTTCAGGGAAGGCATTCTAATGCTAACGCTGGTTTGGATGGTTATCCCTTTCCGCCACAGCATTCTGATGCTGCTGTAGCCGCCGCTTCATCCCCTGACAGACGCAGGCGCAGACGCAGACGCCGACCCAGACTAGCTTCATTTGGACTCGTATTGCTTTTAATTCCTTAAATTTAAAATTAGTTTATGTTTTGATTACTCAAATTTGACTATAGGTAGTCTGCCTAGAGATTTTTGCCCTTGGAACAGTACTTTTGCCATCAAAATTAAAATAAGATTAAATAATAGCAACTAAAAATACCCCATATTTTTTTCATGCTTTGCTATTCATTTTATTTGAAAATTCATGTATCACAGGTTGGTTCAGAAATTTTAATTTTTCATATCACACTAGTGAAACAATTGAGGAATACAAGTAATAATCTATTGAAAAATAGACATGTGTGACTTTTTCGTATTTTAAAAGAGATTAGTACATTTCTCTATTTTTAGGGTTTCGTGACGAGACTTTTCAGAGGAGCTGGGGAAGCGGCAGCTGGTGCAGGTATAGCGGCGGCTATGGCGGGAGGAGGAGTTGATGGTGCTGATAATGATTATGAAGATGATGATTACTAGCTAATTACTAATTTCGAAATATAATCAACTTTTAAAGCCTAGCTTGTCTTGTTTTAGACGCTCAGTGCGTGCCTTTGTAGATGTTGAATGAGTCCATGTTGTTGACAATAGCAATATACTCTTCCAGTTTTTAATACAGAATTCAATTATTGAATTGGTTTTTGTTCTAAATAAAAAACTCATTTCTTATATTTATCAATTTTTTTTAATTACCCCTATAGATACTCCCTCAACCATAATCAAGTAGAAGAGGAAGATGGGGTATTAAGAAAGATGATTATGGTATTTTTAAAAAAAAGTATCACATTTCTTATAATTAACTAATTTACTTAACTTTCTTAATCTAATCAAATCAGTTAAATGGGTTTTATATTAAGGATCAGAGGAGGATATGGGCGCGTGTTTGTCTACCGTGTTATCACCTGTATGTGATATACTCCTCTGATCTTTAGTATAAGATCTAATTGTTAAGTTAATTTTAGTCCTACATATAATACTTATTTCTTATATTTATCAACTTTTCTTAAATTATCTTTATGGATTTCTCAACCATAATCAAGTAAAAAAAAGAGAGAGAATATTAAGAAAGATAATTATGATATTTTAAAAAAAATATGTTATGTTTTTTAGAATTAATTAACTTACCTAACTTCTTTAATCTAATCAAACTAGTTAAATAGATTTTATATTAAGAATCGGAAGAATACTATGAAAGGTCCTGTATGGTTTACTACTCTAAATTAAGATGCTGTCGTCACTGTTCCCTCTTGTACCTCATCCAAATCCAAAAATAAAACCAGAGACTAACATTAACGAGGTGTGAGGATTTGAGACTGACGGAATGTTTAGATTAGTGAAAACTATTTTTCAAAAATATTTTTTCGTAAATGAAAACAAATTTTTTTACATATTTATTCCGCACATCTTAAAAACATTTTTAAAATTATAATTATATTTTTATCTAAATACTTTCTAGAATGAGAAGAAATGATAAAAAGAAGGAAACTTCATCCAAATTGGCTTTGGAGTGTCGTGGAGAAGACAAAAATGCGACCAAGAAAAGCGTAATTTACTTCTCCACGTATTTCATACCAAGTACAGTCTTATTGATGAGATATAACAATTTGTAAATAACAGTAGGACATCAATCGGTCAACTATCTCTAAAGTGACATCATATTGTTTTATCATTCCTTAATCCAAATATATAAACACATGGCCGAACAGGTCAAAAGAAGAAGCAAGGGCACACTATTTTTTATATTTAATATAAGAATTAATTAACTAATTTGATTAGATTAAAAAAATTAGTTACGCTAATTATTTGTAATAAATAGATGTTTTTCTTAAAATATTCTTACTAATCAAGTATATTCTTATAGTCTTATTTATAAAACACTTCTTTTTATCTTTAGATAAAAGAAACAGTTCACATGACCACACTACAAGAATTCAGAGTAGCAAACGACGACACGCACACAACTCCCGTGGTCACTCAATAGTGAAAAAACTGCATAATATGAATACTGGGAATCGAGGTCCCTGACCGGATGAGGTTACTTTGGCGCAAGCGCAATTTGTGAACAATCATCTTTGGGATGAGCTCTTTGATTTTTTTTTTTGGAACAATAACGCTGGGGTCCCCTAGAAAAAAAAAATACTGCAAATTTGGTAATTACCTAAGAGTCTCAAAAGAACCTAACTGTAATTAAAAAAAAAAAAGCTTATATTATCCCTGCCCAAACACTCTGAAAAAGACGATGGATTGGGAACCATATTTCTCTTTATCGGTGATCTCACTCTCCTCTCAAAATCTCAACGTTCAATCCACTCACTGGAAGCAACCTGCCTCAAAGCCCTTCACCGCCGCCATAATTGTTGAAGATCTTCCAATTTGCTGCCGTGGCCGAAGCAGTTCGTGGTCGAAGCAAACCTATTCGTGGTCAGAGCACAGTAATCGCTGGCACCCTGTGTTCATCCGTCGTGTTTGTTTATGCTAATGTATTTCTCCTCCTACTTTGCAAAATTTGTGGGCTTAAAATGTTACTCCCAGTGCGTTCGTTCAAGTTGTATAAAACTAAATCAGGTATGCATGATACACAAAGCTCATATTGTTTGTTTATCCAAGTTCACTTAAGCATACTATTTCCCCCGGCCCAGACAACAGGTTGTGTTATTTGTGAAATATGGATGGTGCCTCATATTCATGTTATACATAAAGCTCATACTCATTTCTTTTTTATTTACAGTTTTTATTTTTCCTAACCTAGCCATTCTTTTTTTGCTTTAACTTTAAAATTGATTTTAAAAAATTGAGAGGATTCAATCAGTAACCTAGGATTAAATTGTTTCTCAGTTGAGATGGGCAATGAATAAGTCAATTTGTTTTTAGTTAGAATGGGTAATGAGGAGTAAGCCAATTTGCTGGGATGTGTGTTTCAAGATAAAAGATCAAGCCAAAAAATGTGTTTCAAGATCAACCCATCTAAATTTTAGCCAAGATATTTTTTAGATAGTCTTTTCATCTACAGAACAATTATACATGAAGAAAGTGGATTTCTTGTCTTACCCCCTGTAAGTTTAGAACATGAAAGATTGCTGCATATTGAATCTTGTTATGCATTTCATGTTTCAAACTTTCAGTATGCATATGTTAAAGAAATTAAAAAAAAATGAAAATCCTAATTTGTCTCTCCCCGTATCTTACTAATCTCAGGTTTCAAACTTTCAAATATTTTATTGGTGTTATATTCAAAATAAATCCTCACTTTTCCTCTCCACTTTGAAACATTTTATTGCTATTTATTTTACTGAAATTGGGTTTTGATTAAAAAGAAATAGTTAAATATTTTAAAAATCAATAAATGAAAATATTTACCTGTATTTGTGAGTTCATATATGTTGAAATAATATTAGATACATTGGTATAACTTTCATAATTTTATAATACTGGATGTTTTGATAAGTTAAGAAGATGGGGAAGGATGAAAACAATAAAGATAGACAAAAGAGCTCTAATTTTTACATTGTTCATTGAGGAGTTTTACAAGAACTCAAGGAAGTACAACTTAGTTTGAACCCGTATAAATGATGCCAAGAGCTTGTATATGTAATAATTGACTGTTATTATAGTTGCTATAACCTACCATTGTTGTTGTAATTTTTTACTGTCATAGTTATTATTGCCTATTGTCGTAGTTGTTTTTGTCTGCTACCTTAGTTGCCATTACCTTTTGTCTTAGTTGTCATTGACTGCTGTTATGCAAATTTGTTGCTTATTTGTTTCTTTGTCTAGAACTCCCACTGCTTTATTTGACTCATTTTCCAATTGTTGTTTGCTGTGTGGTGTCAAACTTTTACGTGAGTATATTTCGTATCCTGTTTTGACCTGAGCTCATATTTATTATCACATTTGTACAAAAAACTGGTTCATTTTTCATAATTTCAGCACACATGTTCTTGTTAGATTATCCATAGGATGAAATATGATACATAACTCTCATGATTGCTGCAACTTCCTTACATTGATTAATCACTGCTATATTGGGTTTAGAAAATATGACTACTAATGCTAAAAGACCACCTAATGAGGAGGTAGAAGAAGATGATGGGGATGAAGCAAATGGTGGAGGCCTTGATACGTGGGAGAAAACTTGTGCAGAGGATAGATCATGGAAATCTTTCCAAGAGGATTCCAAATCAAGTTTTGAATTCTTATTCAGTGACCAGATGTTTTATAGCATTCTTCAGTTTTCTTTCCTATAAGATTTGTATGTTTCTTTACTCATAAATTGGTCATTCTATGTAATCTTCTTATTTCATAGGAAAAGTGGTGATGCATCCGAGTATTGCAACCCACCATCATACTGCATTTAAACAAACTTGAAGCTAGTGTTTTCAATTTTCAAGTACTAGTGAAAGCTGCGTTTACATGATAGTCCAAGACTTGGAGGATTAGACCAAATTGTTTTGGTATCATCAAGTCTGGTGAATGTAAAATTGGAATCACGCTTTTTTGCACTTATAAACTTGAGAAGACAGAGGAACCTATGAAAGAAGCCAAGAAGAAGGGAGAAAGAAAGCAAATTGTATGAAATCAATTGAAATATCTTCTCTTTGTAGTTTAGGATTTAAGTGGTTTCCTTGCAACCACCTGTGCTTATATATGATTGAAATTCATATTAGATTTGAATAAATATAATTGTTTGCCAGTTCTGAAAACTATAATATTATACATATAATCTAATGGATAAATTTTAGATTTTGATATTAGTGACTTGCTATCTCAAACACCATTATTTATCATTGCAAACACTCTTACTTGTCAATACTTACACATTGACTCGTCATTTTCATGTTGTCAAAAGTCTGATATAAAGTTATGTTTTTTTAATATAATATGATATTAAGTCACATATATTATGTTATAAAATGATATAAAATTTCATGTACTCATGTAATATATTTTGTATATAATCTGAGGAGAAAACTTTATATTTTGGTGTGTGTGTATATATAAAAGGGTCATTATAGTTAATTTGTGAACCTTATTTTATTGGAAAAATTACATACAAATCCTAAGAAATAGAATTTATTCATCTAAGGTCTCAAGAAATGTCAATATTAATAGCAGGTCCCAGGAGACCTTAGAGTATTATATTGTAATTGTAAAATGATATCACAATCTCTCCTAATCTAAGGTTCTCAATTCACTTTTTTCTCTGCCAATGTGATTGACAACTTGCGAGTATTAACAACCTAATAAGAAACGGTTGACAATCTAAGAAATATCCGTGGCAACTTACTTGGGCAAATTTCAATTTTTTTAAAAAAGGCCCAAATGCAAATACCAAAAAAGACCCGCTCAAATGTTTGAGATCTGATAGTAAACTGACTTGTTTGTTGCTTTAAGGAGTTATGTATTAATGATGTAAAGCTACTTTTGAGGTTAATTTTAAATAGATTTCTATGGTTCTCATTGATGAGATATCTTTGGCATTATATATTTTTTGTGTTCATCATACATGGTTTGTGGCTGATCAAAACAAAATCCCGACAATTCTGCTATTTGACTCTGTGGAATATACATAATCATTGGTGAATATTGGTTGACAGCCTTGAACAAGCCTTTAAAGAGGATTGAGAAAGATGA